TTAGAGAGGTTTTTGCTATAGGTGTGCACTTACCAGAAAGACCGAGACAGAGACAGAAAGCAAGAAATCACCACCACCCTCCCCCCCGGGGGGGATGGCCATGCTGCAATCCCTTCTCCTCTCAGGATCTTGGGCATGAGTTTAAGCCACCAGGTACCAGACTCCAACCACAGTTGACTACATGGGAGTCCAGCAATATAGCCATTACACCAACTGCTCGTCCTAGAAGTTAGGTTTCTTTCTTTCTTTTTTTTAAATTTTTTTGGAGAGGTTTTTTCTACAGGGTGCGTGCACAAGCCAGACAGAGACAGACACAGAGAAATCAACTCCTGGGGGGGATGGCCACGCTGCAATCCCTTCTCCTCTCAGGATCTTGGGCATGCATGCATACGTGCCCGGCATGAGTTTTAAGCCACCGGGTCCGGGACTAGAACCGCGGTAAACTACATGGGAGTCCAGCGACATAGCCATTACGCTAACTGCTAGTCCTAGAAGTTAGGTTTCTTGATGGTGAGTTCTTGACTTGGCTCAGTAGCCTAGGGAAGTTTTTTAAAGACTAATCAGACACTGCTTCTCTGAAACAGATTTTTAAGAATCCTCTTCTAGTAGAGAAATTTATTTTTATATCTACATGTTTTGCTACAGGTATAAATACACTTACTTTAAATGGACTGAATTAGACCATCAGGTGATACTGACTGTATTTATTCGCCACTAGACTGCTGGCTCAAAGTAAGGACCTCTAGTTTTGCATAGGGTTGTTTACAGTTTGTTTTCTTTGTTTCTTTCTTTTTTACATAAAGATGCAGCAATTTCTTCTCATTTCTGAATCCCAATAGTAAATGCATATAATTAGCAAAGAGTTAGATAATGATCTCCATCCCTATTTGTTGTTATAGTGTAGTGTCTATGGAGCATACTTATGAACAATATAAGCTTACTTACTTGAAAATGGAAAAGGAGGCAGGTTAATAATAAACTCCTACCATATTCCTTTTGATACTGAGCAAACCATTCCTTTATATAACAATTGCTACCCATTTCATTCAAAAATGTGAAATTAGGCCAACTTCTAAATACTACTGAATTCTGCCCTAGTTCCTAAAATTCTTCCTATAATCCATCAGAGATGACAGACCAAAAATGTTACAAAGAGACTTAACAATCTTTGTTTTCTAGAGATGAAACAGTATAACAATATACACTGATATAATGGGCTACTAAAAATACACTTCTCAAGGAAGGTGAGGGGAACACCCATCAATTTCCTCCTGATACCCAGCAAACTAACTTCTAATAGGAAGATAAAGGTTACTCCTGAAAATCAGGTAGATACTTTGTAGCACTGTAAGGGCACTAACCTTGAAGAGGCAGATTAAAGAGTTTTAAAGTACAGAATGGAGGACAAGGACATAGGCATTAATATGAAAGAGGCAGATTAAAGAGTTTTAAAGTACAGACTGGAGGACAAGGAGAAAGGCATTAATATGCTCTCATCTGCCTATCTAGAATGATAAAATTAAATAATTATTTGACTGCTTGATTAAATTTAAAGTGATTAAATAGAATGGATTATAGCAAACAGAAGAGTAAAATATGCCAGACAAGTAAAGTACTAAACTCTTCAAAATCATTTCAGAGAGGAAAAAAAACACAACATAAGTAACCTTTTTCTCCTGGAAATCTGTAAACTATATCATTTTACAGATATTTTGTAGAAACTCAGGTTTAATTTTCCTAGTCATTAACTTCCACAAGTATGGTCAATGCTTTATTTTTTTTTTAAGTGAAGTTGTTTATTAAGATTCAAACTTGGGCCAGCAGGTGGCGTGGTGGTTGAGGCAGCTGGATTCCCACATGGCTGATTACGGTTCAAGTCCCGGACCTGGTAGCTTGCTTTCTCACTTTCTTTCTCTGTCTCTGTCTCTTTCTGGTCAACTTCAAAAAAATAAAATATTTAAAAAAAAAAATTCAAACTTAAAATTTCTTTTGAGGTCTGGTTAAGATGCTATTTATGGAGAGACGGAAGGAACAACAGGGAGAACTCGCAATCCCAGAATCAGAAGGACCAAAAACCAGGCCCAAGAAAGGCTGCTGGGCTTGAGCTCATCAGCAGGGACCTCTCTCCTGCATGCTGTAGGGAAGGAGGGACCCTCCAGCACTTAAGAATCAATATCTGGCTCCCGCAGGTTCTTACCTAGACACAGAACTAGCTATAGGGGACCTTGTAATCCCAGAGATAGAAGGCAGGAGCTATTGCCCTATGTATGTTGATACCGCCTTGACCCTCACCCCTCCAGGACCAACAGGCAGGCCTAAACCAAGACACCTGGCTTAAGCTCTTCAGCAGGGACCCCTGCTAAGCCTGCTCTGGTGGAGGAGGGGCTCTTAGGCCCTTAAGGTATATTCTATCACTTAAGGTTCTGTCAAATTCATTTCCATCCACATTGGGAGGATGATTTGGGTATAGAAGAACCAAACACCTAAAAACAAGAGACTCTAGAGTAATTAATTCCCCATAATTCTCTTAGGGGTAAAAGGAGAGAAACCATAATCTGAAAATCTGATCTCCAAACTCCTGTCGTAGATTCCACACTCCCACCCACAATAGAGCAGGGAAATTAGTACAGAGTTTACACATATCACAGAGAAGTACAGGAGCACACAGCTGTAGAAATATACTTCAAAAAGTATTAAGAAGTGATGTTTCACCAGATAACTAAAAATCAAAACAGAACCTGAAGAAATACAAGAAAATCACAATATATCTCTCCCTCGATGGATAATAACTCTGCCAATGCATAAAACACAGGTGATCACAGAAATGTCAGAAAAAGAATTCAGAATAATGATGATAACCAAACTCAGTGAGACGCAAGACAAAACATACAACCAATTCTAGGAGATGAGAAAATCCTTCCATGACTTCATGGAGGAACTCCATAGTGACAGACACATCGAAAAAGAATCAAACAGAATTTCTTGAGATAAAGAATATGCTGCAAGAAATCAAAACATCCCTTAAAAGTATCAACAGCATACTAGGATCATGCAGAAGGAAGAAACTGACCTTGAAGACAAAACCTCCAATTTTAGTCCAAGCAACCAAAAAGAATTAACCATTAAAAATGTGGACAATATACAGGAAATCAGAGACACCATTAAGCAGCTAGGTATTCCTGATGGTGAAGACAGGCAAAGGCACAGAAAACATCTTTCATGATATATTGGGTCATCAGGAAAGTTATGGTGTTCTTTCGCATAGAAAAACATACAAAAATATGTCATGACTTTCCTGACAACCTAATATTAGCTGGAAAATTTCCAAATTTAGACACACACATATATATGGACATCCAAATTCAGGACAAAGGACACCAGATAGATAAAACACAAGGAGAGCCTCTCTAAGGCATATTATAGCCAAATCAGTAAAAATCAAAGATAAAGACAATATCTTAAAAACAGCAAGTGAGAAACACCAAGTTACTTACAAAGGTTATCCTATTAGACTAATAATCAGATCTCTCAGCTGAAACAATGCAGACAAGGAAAGAATGAGAAGACATATTTAAAACACTGAAAGAAGAGCAATTCTAGCCAAGAGTATTATACCCAGCAAGATTATCCTTCAAATGGAAAGTAGAAATAAAATCACTCCCCATAAAAAATGCTGAAAGAATTAACCCAAATGACACTGGATCTTCAGAAACTACTTAAGGGACTACTACACCAGGAAAGCTAAAGGGAGACAAACAGAAATAAGAGAACACAAAACAACTAGGAATAAAGGGTAAGTCCACACATATTGATAATACCACTTACTGTCGGGATTAAATGCAGATTCAAGTATTTCACACACAAGCAAGTTTAAACACAAATTTACCAATTATTTGTAGACAGCTGCCTCCACAGGTTTCAATTTATATACTTATTACAACCACTATTCTCCATATGAAACTAGATAATAGAGGGAAAATCCCAAATGTTAAAAAGTAGGTGAATCTTTCCTTGGAAAAAATTTTAAAAAGGTTAAAATCAAGAACTCAGAAAAACCTATATAAATCATCAAATCACTGGCTTCACCAAGTCTTCACTTTTAAACATCTCTTTGTTTTCTTTTGGCTATTTCAAAGAGTTAGTTCTTTACACAAAGCACAGCAGTATGATCTTCCAAGAACTCGGTGTGTGAGTAAAAAAAAAAAAGTGTTCTTTTTCTCTCTCCCCAATGAATTATTATTATGCACAATTTTACCTATCTCTAACTGGACCAATGACTGATACAGATTTTTTTCAGATTATGAACTCTTATCTCCCACAGTCTTATACATAGAAATTATGAATTCTTTCATTGGCTAAGTTAACAATATCTTTGTTAATTTATGAAATTGCCTGTTGCCTGACTTTTAATTAATACGTTTTTCTTTAGAACTGTATCTCTTGGTAAAGAATGTCACAGACAATTCAGTATATACTTGCAGAATAACCACTAGAGCAGGTTTTGAATGTTCAGAACACAATGTAATTTTAAACGTTATCCCTAATTTGTTTATTACACATTATATACATGCATTTGAAGATCATTCTGTACCCTACAAAGATGTGTAATGATGATATACAAATCATAAATTACAATAACATTTAAGGAGATAAAAATTATAGAAAAAAAGATGTTATTTATCTTTGCTAAGCTAGTGAGAAAGTTTTTTGTCTGTTTATTTTTAAATTCCTAAGAATTAGAAAGTGCTAAGTATTATCTGGCCTCAAGTCACATACAGCTGTGTTCAAAACTATTACTAATATACATGGTACACAATCTCTCCACAGAACTTATTAAAAAAAAAAAAACCTAACAACATTTATCACGGTTATGCAAGTGACTGAATCAACTGCACATGGGATTATATTAAACATTTAATCCCAAATTTTATATAAACATGACCTGGGGAAAAAAAAAAAAAAGAGTTCAAAATCAATTCAAGCCACAATTAATTCAGTACCTAATAGCCCAGCGTCTACATCATCTTCGTTTTTCAAAGTCTCCGCATGCAACTCTGTAAGAAAAGCAAGATTATTTTATAAATTGAAGAGAAATTATGGATCTGTGTAGAGTGTTATGGGGTCAGGAAGAACTAGGTTCAAATTGTGATTTAATATATTAGTTGTATATGACTTTCAGTAACCAAAAAAGACCTCTATGAGTCAACTGACACATACATAAAACAATGTTTATTCCTCAGGGTTGCTGTGAAGACGTTTTTATATGAGTTAAAAGGTACATTAGACTTTTCAATTCAGCTCTTTCCTCCATTCTCCAAAATAAGCACAGTGCAGCATCTTCTAAAATGAACTTGCAATTACCAAGGCTTCAGGACTTCAATCTACAAAGGTAACCTCTCAGGGAAAAAAGAGAAATAAACTACTTACAAATCTTCCAGAACTGCAATGAAATAGGAAAGGAAGTGAGAGAGAAATGAAATATTGGCAGCCAAGCATTTAAGACTGACAGTTCACAACCAATACCATTTTATGAAGTGGTAAAATTCACACAATCTGCCAATCTGTTGTCAGTACGAAAATCAAGCATGGTAAGCTTTTAGATGCCATCTGCAGCTTATTAAGGGCTGGGAAACAACGAGGAAAAATAAATACTGGAGTGAAATAGATTTCACTGTATGTAGTGAAGTCAATACTTGAGATAACAAGGTGGTGGGTGCTTTTCTAACAAACCAGTTTCATGATTTTAATTTTGCTTTTTGACTAACTTGACCAAGGTCAACAGAACTGAGATTTAAACTGAAGTCTGATTCTTTCCACTGTAATAAACAACACCAACAATATCATCTATTTTTATTTCAACCAGGCCGTTATTTCAACTTCAAAAACGGCACAGTCTCTTTTTAATGATGGGTATTCTTCATTTTGTTTAGTTGTGCCAGTATTTTACGCTACGTGTTCAATGCCTATACGATATTTAAGAGTACTCATTTAATCAAAAGGCCCTGTCTTAAAATGCATCTCGTAATCATAGACCTGGGCCCTCCACCTAGGAAAAAAGACAAAGGGGGTTGGAGAATAAAACAGATGGAGATGAGGGTTCTGGATGAAAGCGGCTGTCACCTAGTAGGCATTGGTATGAGGAGAAAGGAGGGTTAACGGAGGCAAAAGACAAGTCCTGGCTCATCGTTCTTCCGGACTTTCAAGGCCTGGACCTCAATACCTTTAACAATCAGATAGGCGATGGCGAGGAGGAAGGCGAGGAGGACGGCGAACAGCAGCGAACAGAGAATTGAGAGGACCTGGACCGGCCACCGCCGAGACTGGGCTCGGTTGCCCACAGCCGCCGGGAAGATGCCATTGCGCTTCAGGACCGGCGACCCGTCTCCGTCTGGCGGGAGCAGCAAGCCCCTCCTAGGCTCGGAAGACGCCCCGGCCGAGAACTCCGCTCGCAAATTGCGGGCTATCTGGTCGCACCCCTCCTCCTCGTCCACTTCGCCTTCACCCCAACTGTCTCCCTGAGTGAAGGCGGAATACACCGGCCGAGCAAAAGGAACTGGAGTGCCTAAGCCGCTCCGCCTCGGAGCCGAGGGCCTCCCGCTCTCCACAAACGACATGGCGGGAAAGACTGAGACCGCGACGGTCTAGCCTCTCCCACCCACTCCGCCGCGCGCCAGCAACAGCCAATGAGCAGCTGGGCGCCGCCGCGGCCTCCACCACCCGGTCCTCGCACGCAGGGGTGCGGACTGAGTGGCGCCGAGGCAAAAGGGAACTCTGAGGCCCGATGACAGGCTAGACCCCCTGGAACCAGGGCCCAACCCCAGGACCGTACACGGGACGGGGACAGGAAAACGCATAGGGTCAGAAGTCAGGCCAAAGGCAGCCCATTCTCCTCTCCCTGCGGCAATTCGTCCCGGCCAGACCTGGGCCACCGCCGCGTCACCGACGGACGGGCCAGCGCGCGCCCAGCCGTCCCCCAAGCTGCAGCTTCTCGGCTCTGGGTCCTAGCGCCCTCCTAAGACACTGCGACGCACATTCCCGAGCCCATCTGCTTTTCCCCTCCTTCCCTTCCAAGTTCGCACTCTTTCTCAGCTTCTCCCATTAACTGCAGCCTACTGCTAGGCCCTCTCGCCGTGCCTTAACTGCCCAGCTTCGCCTGCCTCTCGCGTCGTCCCCCCCGCCCCGCCACTCCCCTCCACGGTGCTCCACACGCCTTCTAACCCCTCCGCCCGGCGTGCAGTAGCTACCGGGTGCTTGCGGAGCTCGAACCCTTTCGTCAGGACCGCTCGTTATTGCCTTCCCCGCCCTCTCCTCAGACTCGCCGCCCGCGCGCGCGTATCCGGCCCCAGCCACTGCTAACGCTAGAAGCTTACCCCACCCCCACTCCCTCACCCTACCCTTGGCGGCCTCAGGTTTGTGGGACGGCCGTAACCCGGGCGGGGAGGGTGAAGGTGGCACTCCCATTGCCCCACCCCAAACGGGGTGAGGTGGTCTAAACTCGGGAAGTGGGGACACGATTGTCTTCCCTTCCCCTGAGGAAGTTGATGGAGTTTTCCCTGCGGAGGACTCGACGCAGAAACTTCCTCCGTCCCCCTTCCCCCCTCCATGCAGGCGACGCCAAGTGAGTCTGAGGCTGGGGGCGAATCGCCGCAGAGTTGCGTTTCGGCGGCGCACTCTGATTGGACAGCGGGGAAGCCTGTCAGCCTTCTGGCCCCGCTGGTCCCGCCCCACAGCGCAGGACAGCCTTTAACCTTTGGCCCCAGCGGGCGCCAGCCACTCAGATCGCTCCTTGTTGGTATGTGTAGCGGCAGTGGCCGCCGGCGGAGCAGTCTGAGCCCGACGATGAGGCCGGGGACTGGAGCCGAGCGCGGAGGCCTCATGGTGAGTGAAATGGAGAGCCATCCTCCCTCGCGGGGTCCCGGGGACGGGGAGCGGAGATTGTCCGGCTCAAGTCTCTGCTCCAGCTCTTGGGTCTCTGCTGACGGCTTCCTGAGGAGACGGCCCTCGGTAAGGGATCGGTGGGGCAGGGGGAAAGCGGCACAATGAAAAACGGAATCAGAGACAGGAAGCTTTCTCCGAAAGGAGAAGATAAGAGTGGACGGAGGAAGAGCTCGCGATGGTGGGATATGTGACGAGGGAGAGAAATGGAGGGCCGGGATGCACAAAGAGAGCGATGTGGGACCCTGGAAGTTCCCTGTGGGCTTGGCCTAGACAGATTCGCGATGAAGGTGCTGGGCCCTGGGCGGGGTGAGCGTCCTGGAGCTGTAGGCCCGATTTTTGTAGAGAAGGGGAAAGCGGAGGCTTGGGTCTGTAAGACTTTAAGAGAGACTGCTAAAATCTCTTTTCGCTAGTAGTGGTGGTATTCTGCGGGAGGGACAGTTGAGCACATTGACAGGAGATAACTACCTATTTTTTAAACTTAGAACAATGGAAACAAGGTAAAGAAAGTAGTGTTTTAAAAGCACCTCAGAATGAAAAAAAAAAAGGCAACCTCAAAACGGATGAATTACTAGTTTGCATTTAGTGTTGGTGAGTGACAGAATCTCAGTCTTAGAAAAGGTTTTGGTAGAAGGAATTTATCTCTCTTAAAGGCTATGTTCGGAAATAGTATAATAGGAGTGACGTGTCCCCAGGTAGCTGTTTTGTAGTTAGACTGACCAGACCTTTTAGTGTTTGACAAGACCTTATCCAAGTTAATTTGTTAAATTCGGTTTAAATTTTAAAATCAGACGTGTTACAGAGTAACAACAGCTGGCTACCTTTTGTATTTGTGTGAAATTAAGGATAAAGTTGTTTGTTTTTTTCTGTGATAGTTTTTAAAGTAATAGCATTCGGTATGTATCCTCTAAGCTTTGCAAAACAATCAGTAGCTGAATAACTTTTATATTTTAAAAGAATTCTGTGACCCAGCTGTGGAGAAATGACTTCAGTATTTTTTTCCATTTTCTTATGGAATTTGCAAGGTGATTATAAATATTTGGGGAAGTGCCTTTTGCTTGAAAAGGGTAAAAAAGTAACTCAAGAATTTCATTACACATTGGTCTAATACTATGCTTCTGCTGCTAAGCTGATTTGATGGGTTAAGATTTTTAAGAAGCATTTATGTTACTCATCTTTAAATTGTCACTGTTTTTCAGATGGGGCACCCTGGCATGCATTATGCTCCAATGGGAATGCACCCTATGGGTCAGAGAGCGAATATGCCTCCAGTACCTCATGGGATGATGCCACAAATGATGCCCCCTATGGGAGGGCCACCAATGGGACAAGTAAGAATGTTTTTATTTATTTGTATTTATTTGTTTATTTTTGTCTGAGGTATTACTGTGTCAAGATGTTGAAATCTAGGTCAGTACTTATAGATGTTTAAGGGATAGTTTACCTTCAAATATTAGTTTTCATTTAATATGAGCCAAGTGTTGAATCAAGACTGTAACTGAATTTTGAATGTAATGAAAAAGGCTTCTGTATAAAAAGTAACTTGTTTTGGTGGGCCATGTAAATGAATAGAATCTGAAAGTTGCAATTTAGGCCTTTGGTTTAGAATATATTCCTGAAATACCTTCATCTCTGTGTGTGTGTGTGCGCGCACACGCTCATGTGTGCGGGCAGGTAGAGCGGGAATGGGATGGGAAGTTTCTGCTCTGTAATTCTGATACTTCATGGGACATTGCCAAATAGGTCGTTTATTTTCCACTTACACTGTTTAGCTTTTTAAAAATATGCTTATTGCTTCTGGACTCCTCCTTGCGGGTTGTCCCTTCCATCTCTAGCATTGATTGTAAATGGACATTTTGTGGGAGTGAGTTGGAACAAAACGATCTAATGCTAACTCAGTAACATCTGTAGAACTGAGTTTTTAGAGAAGTGTCTGAGAAAGGTAACAGGTTTAGTTACCATGAATAATTTTGTGCCCTATATTAGGTTCTGTAATACACAGATGTTTAGGTGGCTGGGTTATTTCCATTTGAGTATCTGATAGATCATCAAAAATTTAGGCTTGTAAAATATTTTGGAAAGCTGATTACATACACATGATCTCTTGTAAATTAGTACTGTTTACTCCGATAATGATTTAAACCTTGATGGTTAAAGTTATTAGTGAAAATGTGGTAGAAAAAGGAGCTTGCTGTATGTCTTTTTTTTTTCTTAATCTTAAGAGTAGAAGGGCTTAATATCAAATAGTTATCTTCATTTATTTTGAATATAGCCCTTAATTTCATATAAAAATCTTTATTCAGAAGCACCAGACTGAAAAGATTCTGCCTGTAAGAGTTCTTTAAAGAAGTGTCTTAAACTCCCTAGGTGATGGAGAAGCAACTCTGATTCCTCTTCTGTTTCTTTCCATCTCTAAGCAGCAAGGAGCTCTTCTTTTCTTGGTAGAGCTGCTCTGACTAGATAATGAGCTTTAAAAATTATTTATTCTTTAAATGCTCTGGTTCTTATTTAAAATTAGTTTCTTTCCACAGAAAGATAAAATAAAACAATTTGCTACTGCCAGATGCTTCTCTCTTTTCTGGGGCCTTCTGTTTCCATTGGGCCAAACAAGGTAAGTTTTGCAAGGGATTGATCTGCTTACCCTTGCTGTAATGGTGCTATTGCACTACCAAAACCAAGATGCAAGCTACTCATTTCTATTAAAATTCAGGTTTTATTTTTTAAAAGTACTGTTGTCATGGGTTTCTTTATGGCCCTTTCTTTTAGTTATGTCAGTTATCTTCATAGTAGGTCTATTTGCTACTTGAGTTCCATCCATTCAAATACTCTAAATTTTGCCTTGTGATTTTCTTCTACTTTTTTTTGTAAGTCAGTGAATTTCATGTGCCTTTAAGTATACTTGATTATTTAAATGTTTAGAATTCTTTCCTCCTCTGTTGACTCCTGTTAGGATAATAAGTGAATGTTTCAGGAGTCCAGCTCTGAAGGTCCCAAGAAAATCTCCATTGTTTTTCTCAAAAACAAATCTTTCCCCCTTTTTCTCTTAGTATCTATCTAATTAGCGATACACATACAGGGCCCAAATCTTGATATATAGCAAATTCTTATTTTAGCTTTATAACAGAGTGGGAGAGCATGGATAGTTTGAGTCCTCTAATAATTCAGAAGTCTCGTTAAAAGTTCTAAACATTTCCTTAAACATTCTGTCCACCCACTCTAAAAAGTAAAAATTAGCAGTTGGTGATCAGAAGATGATTGAAAAAGAAGCAGAATGCCTATAACATTATTAGCAGTGATTGTTAGTAGGGTTCTGCCATCCAGTTTTTAGAAGTTAATGAACCAATTCTTGAGCTTTGCAGACTAAACGTTATAGAACCTTCATACATTAACTAATTTCCATTAAGATCTCATGCTGTAATCAGCTGAAGACTAAAATTTATAGCTGTCTTACTTGCTGAATGATTGTGGTCTTTGAGATGTTAATTAAATATGGAAAGAAATTGTAAAAGTTGTTTGTAACATAATATGCAGACTGGACGGAATAACAATATGAGAATGTAGAGTATGTCGTACTATTTTAAGTACAAGAGGTTAGTTAGCTTAAAGACAGACGTAGTGTCTTCACAATTTCTTTTTATTCATGAGATAACCCAGAATTCCAATTTTACAATTTAAGGCTGAATCTATTAGAAATAGTAATTATTTGGAAATTGTCAAATGAAGTTTATAATAATACTTTCAGGTTCATCTCAGTTATCTATCCTATAGGTTAAATTTGCTTTTTTCTTTTTGTATATTACTATGGGAAAGCCATGCTAATATTTATATAAAATCATATCATCTTATAGCCAGAAGGCACCTTACAACTTGTATAAACTTTAAATTATATGTAATTTAATGATTTTTGGAGTGATTACTGGTTTAAAAAAATACATATTAACTAGGAAAGATAAGAAATATTTCCAGTAATGCATTCCATTAAGATAAAAGTAGGTGTAAAGCTGTCTTTTTCCTTCATACCTATGGTAAATCATGTTTTGTGTTTAAAATGTTTTCACATCTTGGGCCAGCCCTGTAGTATAATGGTTAGGTGCTATACAGAGAAAGCAGAATCCCACATAGCCAATCAGGGTTTTAATCCCAGCCCTGTCAGCTTCATGCTTGTGCCCAGAATCCTGATAGAGTAGGGAATTAGAAAAAAGTATTTCAGTTGTAACCAGATGCTATCACGCTATCCCGTCAACAGGCTGTTTTATCTACCTCTGCCCCGTGCATTTCCTTCTAACATGCATACAGCCCT